TTGAAAATAATAATTGAACAGTTAGCAAGCGATTTCTTCTTAATTTTGAATCAGAAAATTGTTCAAGAATTGAATTCTTTCTAAAAATATTATTAAAATTGTTTTGAAAATATTTGAATTTTTGTGAAGAATTTTTACTTTTCATGAAAATAATTAAATTTTTCCGAGAAATTTAATTAAACTTGTATTCAAAATACTCGAATTGTTTCAAAGAATTTTATTAAAATGTTTAATAATAATTCAATTATTAAATCAAAAATTTTATAAAGATTTTAAAAATTACTTGAATTCTTTAGAAATATTTTATTAAAATTGTATTAAAAATAATTTAAATTCTGTGGTAAGTTTTATTATTTATGAAAATAATTGAATCCCTATGTAAACAATTTTATTATTTTTGAAAATAATAGAATTATTGCGAAGAAATTTATAAAAAATTTGTAAATAATTGAATTCCTGTGAAATTTTTCATATTTATGAAAATAATTAAATCTTTGGGTAGAATTTTATCAAAAATTTTTTTAAGTAATTGAATTCTTTTGGAAAGTTTTATTAAAATAGTAGGTATTGAAAAACATATAATTGTTGAAAATTTTCGAAAATAATTTAACTTTTGCCAAGAATTTTATTAAATTTTTTGAAAATAATTGAATTTTGGAGAAGAATTTTATTATTTATAAAGATAATTGAATTTTTGACGAGAATTTTTAAATATTTATTAATATACTTGAATTTTTGCCAAGAATGTTATTATTATTAAATTATTTATTTGTTTTTCATTTATTAAAATTGTTAAAATTATTTAAAGTTATACAAAATTAGGTGAAGAGCTTCTCATGATATATTTATACAATTTTTGGAAAATTCTCAAAAATATTGCAAAAATCGAGAAAATATTCTAAATTTTCTATAACAATTACATTATTATTATTATTAAATAAATAACTGTATGAATTATTATTTCATTCCTGCAAGAGTATTGAGACAATTTTTTATAAAAAAAATTTTATAAATTGAATTTTTCGAATATCTCCAAGTGTTTTGCTTCAAGTCTATAAAAATTGGTCTGTTGACATAACCTAACCTACATTCACTTCTTTGATTACTCGCGTTTTTTTCCCCTTCTTTAGAAAAACCAGTGTTTGCCTGTCAGATTCAAAACAAACACAAGTCGTTTCTAACAAAGGATAATAAATTCGACATTTTTTTCAACAAACAAACGAATTTGTTACATATAAATAAACACTACAACAACAAACAAACAACCTTGGTCCTAGTGTCATAAAAAAACCAAAAACATCAACATTAACCATTTTTTCTAAATTCACAATTGAAAAAAAAATTAAATTGAGAAAAAACGATTGAAACATCAACAAAGATTGTTCGTTAATTAATAATAACAACAAGAAAAATGTAGTCAAATTGGCAATGAAAATTGTCCGTTAATTAAGGGGTAAATCCCCTTCTAAATAGTCATTTTTTTCACTTCTTTTTTACACTAATATTGAGAGATAAACATAGGGAAATTAAAAAAAACATCTCGGTCCATTCCCCACCTTATAGAGTTTAAAAAATTTCACTTTTAATAGCACGTGCGACAGGAGCGCAGTGATTGAAAACAAAACATTGAACCAAGTACTCTACTTACGTTTTCTAAGTAATTCCTGAAACTTTAGAAGGAGATCAATATTGTAATCACGTATTTCTGCACCTGACTTATTACTCAACATTTTTGGAAATTTATTTTATTTCCTGTCATGATTTATTGACGAATACAACAAATAATGAACAAACAACACAAAACGGGGTATAAACGCCAAGCCGCACACAATTTTTTAGTTCGATTCCAGGAATTCGCGGTAGAATGTAAGTGTCTCTCTCTAGCGGCGAAATATTCAAATTAGGAAGAATTTTAACTCCATCGCGGTAAATTTAAAAAAAGGAAAATAATGAATATCAAATGAAAAAATTGGTAATAATTCTGTATATTGTTTAAATAATAAAGTTAAATCAAATAAATAAATAAAAATTAAATAATAGTATTTAAATTAAATAAATAAATCGTAGTTTTTTAATAAAAATTTGATCTAAAGTTTCGAAATCGACATGATTCTCTTATCAGGGAGTGTAGCAAATGATTGATTAATCATTATTCAGTAATTATTAAATATTAATGAACAACAAGAATTAACAACGAACAAAAAATTAGTAAATTAGTATAACAATATTAAAAATTATAATAATTAAGAATAATAAGTTTTTAATTGAAAATATTTGTTTTACTTCGTAAACCACAAAAAAAAAAATTTCAATAAATTCAAAAATAATAAAAAATATAATCGAAGTCAGAATCTATAAAAATAATTATAAACACATGAATAAATTTAATAAATAAAGATAAGAATAAATAATTAGATATTAAGAAATGCAAATTTTAAATATAATTAATAAAAAAGTAGAATAAATAAAATAAACAAAGTAAATGAAATAAATAAAATATGCAAAAAATAAAATAAACCAAAACAGAGGAAATAATCCATTTATTAGTAAAAAAAATATATTAAAATAATAACCATTTATTATGGAAAATGGAAATAATCCATTTATTAGTAATAAAAAAATAAATTAAAATAATAACAAATAAATAAACGAAACTTTGGAACAAATTTTTATTAAAAACCAATTATCCTGTATTCGTTTTATTATTTTTCTATAATTTAAATATAATAAACAAAAAATAATTTTAATAAAAATTACGAAAAAAATGGTACATAATACGGACTTCACAACAAAAAATATTAATAAATATTAAGTTCAGAAAAGGAAAATTAAGAGAAATTTAGATTTTAAAAAAGGAGAGAAATATGGAAAAATTTTAAATGTGCATTTTCTAGTTAAATAATAGATTTGATTAATAAAAGTGTATTTTTGCCAATTTACTAATTAGAAATATTTTAAAAATATATGTTTAAAATTTTCAATTATTTGTTTATGAAAATACAATAATCTTAAAAAATAGAAATGGAATATTTGCAAAACTTAATTTTTCCGTATTTTTTAAATGATTTCTCAAAACTTTTATTAAAAAAAAAAATTCGAAGCTGTTTATTCATTTATCTTCTTAAAATTAACTAATTAGTAAAAGTTTAAATTGAAATTCTTTCAAAACTAAATTATTTTAAATGTACTTTAGAACTTTTAATGTAAAAGTAAACATTTTACATTAAAAAAAAAATACATTTGATTCTGACTCTTTGTAAAATTCAATTATTTATCAATTATTAAATTAAACTTTGTTGAAAATTCCATATTTCTAAAAATCTCTAAAAAAAATTCTTTAACAAATTTAAATATTTTCAATTACATTTCACAAAATTAGAATTAATTTGATAATTGTTCAATAATTAATTTTTTTTGAATACTTGAGTATCATTATAAAATTAAATTAAAATTTCCCAGAAACCTAATTTGTCTAGAATTTTAAATGAAATTATCGTAAACTAAAATAATTTTTTAAATAAATATTTAATTCATAATTTCTTCACAGTAATTGAAATTTTCAAAAGAAAAAACAAACAAAAATATATTTCATTTTGACTCTTTGTAAAATTCAATTATTTATTAATTATTAAATTAAAATTTTTTGAAAATTCCATATTTTTAAACATTTTTAAAAAAAATTATTTAACAAATTTAAATATTTTCAATAAAATTTTACAAAATTAGAATTAATTTGATAATTGTTCAATACTTAATATTTATTTTTGAATACTTAAGTATCGTTAAAAAATTGAATTAAAATTTCCCAGAAATCTAATTTGTTTAGAATTTTAAATGAAATTATCGTAAACTAAAATAATTTTTTAAATAAGTATTTAATTAATAATTTCTTCACAGTAATTGAAATTTTCAAAAAAAAACAAACAAAAGTACATTTCATTCTGACTCTTTGTAAAATTCAATTATTTATCAATTATCAAATCAAAGTTTTTTAAAAATTCCAAATTTTTAAAAATCTCTAGAAAAAATTCTTTAACAGATTTAATTATTTTCAATTATATTTCACAAAATTAGAATTAATTTGATAATTGTTTAATACTGATTTTTTTTTGAATACTTGAGTATCGTTAAAAAATTGAATTAAAATTTCACAGAAATCCAATTTGTTTAGAATTTTAAATGAAATTATCGTAAACTAAAACAATTTTTTAAATAAATATTTAATTAATAATTTCTTCACAGGAATTGAAATTTTTAAAAGAAATTCAATTATTTCTGAATATTGCAACAGATTTTAACTAAAAAATTTTCGAAGTTCATTATAATTGATGTTTTTAGAAAATTTATTCTAGAATTTAATTTTTTGAAACACTTTTAAATTATTTACAAAAATAAAAGAAAACGATTAGAAAGATTGCAGTTGTAATTTTTAGAAATAAGTAAATTTCAAAAGGTTTTACATTGAAATTACTTGAAATTTTCAATTAAAATAAACTATAATAATTTTTTAAATAGTTTAACAAACATTATTGAAGTTTTGAATGTAAATGTAGAAATTCTAAAAAAATTAGGTTTTCAAAAAATTGTAATTAATATTTTTTTTTTGAAGATAATTGAATTCTTGAAAATAATTAAAAAAATTGAAACAATTAAAAGTTTTGTCAAATTTCATTGAAATGAAGGATAATTTTATATTTGTAAGAATTTAATTTTATTACTTTTAGAAATCATTTCCTTTATTCAAGTTTAAAAATAAAATAGAGAGAAAAAGGAAAAAAGGGGAAAAATTGATTAAAAATTGGAGAAAAGGTAATTTTTTATAATAGAGGAAAATGACAAGCGCTGTGAAGTCTATACATCAAATAATTTTAAATAAAAGTTTAGATAATTTAATTTTAAATGAAATTTATGTTAAAAAAAATTGCAGATGATATTTTAATTCAGAGAATTTGAATTTTGAGAAAAAAATAAGCAATTAAAAATAAAATTTAAATTCTTACCAGATTTTGCAGGCGTTGCAGAGTGTTTATCATTTTGTCCCTCCTTTATTCTCGGAGTTCCTTGAGTTTCATTTTCATCAGCAATTTCCCCTTCTTCTGCCTCACTGTCCCATTTTGATTTTGGAAATTGAACATTAATCGAAGATTGAACCTTCGTTGAGTCCGCTGTACGATACCAACCTCGATGTTTATTTCCTTCCTCACTATCTGCAGTCACAATTCTAAAAATTAAAAATCACTTATAAGCTTAATATATTTTTCTCTTAAGTGTTTTCGACCTAAAATCGAATTTTCTTTAATACAAAACAAATCCGATCGGTTCAAATTTCAACCATTTGGAATTTCTCAAAAAAAATTTTCCTGTCAAAGGTGAAAAATAATTCCAAGAAGCAAACAGAAAACAGAAAAGAAAAAAAAATAGAAACTTAATTCAAAGAAATTATATTTTTAGACATAAATAAAGAAAATTTCTGAAAGAAACAAGAATTTATTTAAGAAAATAACTAAACTTTAATATTTGTTAACAAATTCGTAAAATGTATAACTTTTAACAAAAAAAAATAAATTCATAAAGTAAAGAAAAATGTTTTTCAAAGAAGCAAAATAAAACTAATAAACTGACTTTATATGAGTTGCTTCACAAATATCGCCCATTTTTTCTCGCCTTTCAGGTGGAACGACGTTTAACACTTGTCGACGATCGAGAAGAAGTGCAACTTCCGGATTTTCTGAATAAAGAATTTGAGGTCGTGCTTTTGTTACACGAACAGTTTCCGGTGGATATTCTTTTGGTCCATTCAGTCCATCCGCGACGTATGAACTACGATGTTTTCGATGATCACCAAGTAGTAACATTTGACCAAATAAATCGGCAAAATCCTGCGGCGTTCTAATAAGTAAAAAATTGACAATTCAAATTAAATTCAAATTTAAAATAATTAAAGAAAAATTTAGTTGTACTCAAACGTTTATTTTCTTCTTTTTTAAATAAAAAAGAAAATTAGCAATTATGCAAATTTTTTCCTTTAATTTCTAAAAGAAAAATTGTGATTAAAAAGAGTACTAACCTTGCTTTCTCGGACTTTTCCACGCTCTCTCCTTTTTTAATCCGAGTAACTTCATCAATCGATAATCCAACTTTTCTCAAATCTGCCCACGAATTACATTTACTCAATTCTTTCTCTTTATCTCGTTTTCCTTTTTCTTTACTCGATTTATCTCTCGTCTCTTTACTTCTTGATTCTCCTCTTTTCTCTCGTTTCTCATCGGTTCGTTTACTCTTTGTTTCATCCTTTTTGCTCTTATCATTCTCTCGTTTTTCTTTTGTGTCGTCGCGTTGTTTCTCTTTATTCTCCTCTTTTGCTTTAATATCGTCTCTTTTTTCTTTCACTTCACCAACACTTTCACCACGACTCTCATCTCTTTTTACTTTTAAATCAGTTTTTTCTTTCGAAAATTCATCATTTTCGAAATTCTCATTTTTCTCCCTCTCATCCTTCTTATCTTTTTTCTTCGTATCTTTATCAGAAGATGGCAATTTTTCAGTGGAATGTTCTTTACTTTCTTTACGATCTTTCTCATCTTTCGCTGAACGCACGTCTGTTCTCTCTCTACTTCTCGGACGTTTTCTAAATGAATGGAAATTCAGAAAATTGCTTTAAAATATTACAAACTAAAAACTATAATGAAAATTGAATAAATATTCTAAAGTAAATAATAATAATAATTGACAATTGTTTCGTGGAAAATAAACAATTTAAATAAATATATTTAAAGTTATAAGTTGTAATAAAAGGGTTGCCACAAAACTTTGGTTTCATTTTTTCTTAACTTTTTTCTAATTTCCAGAAAGAATTTAACTTTTTGCCTAATTGCTAAAAAAAAATTCAATAGGAGTTCAATTACAAAAACTAAAAAAGATCATTTTTAGAAGCACAAATTTAATTTAAAACATTAAGAGAGTCTAATAATAAGTATATTTTAAAAATAAAAAATAAAATTAGCTACACTTCCTTTCATTATTTTCAAAAATTAGAGTAAAATTATTTAATGATTCAATTATTTCTTATCGAATTCTAGGAAACTTCAATTATTTTAAAAAATTTCAATTATTTGCTTATCCAATTCAATATTCTATTTCAATTTAATAATTTTTTTAATAATATGTAACTGGAATATTTTAAAACAAAATTATTTAGTACCTAATAATCAATTTTTTAAAGTTCGAGCAGTTTTAATAATAAGAAAAATAATTTTTTAGAACTTAAAATAATATTTTTACAAATTTTAATCCTTAAAAACAAGCGGGTAAATTTAAATCTTTTTCAAATGAACTAATTAACAAAAATTCAATTGTAATTCTTTCAAAATAAAATTATTTTAAATGCAATTTGAAATTTAAATTGTAATCTAATTAATGCCGATTTTTACACTTAATTCTCTTCAAAGAATTGAATTTAAAATATTCTGAAATTCAATTATTTTTGAAACTTGCAATTATTTTCAATTCAATTTCACAAAATTTCAATTAATTTGACATTTCTTTGATAAAAATTATTTTTAAAAATCCAAGTGTCATTGAAAAATTGAATTAAAATTACTCAGAAACCATAATTTTATGAGAATTATAAATGAAATTATTTTAAAGTTAAATAATCTTTTAAATAAATATTTAATTATTTTTTATTTATTTTTTGATTTAATCTATTTTTAATTAATTTTTATAATCTTTGAAGAATAGAACTTAAATATTTTAAAAACCTAAATTTACTTAATTTTATACGAAATTATTTAAAATTTAAATAATTTTTAAAATTATTGTTAATTACTCGGTAATTATGAAATTCAATTATTTCTGAAAAATTTCCGGTTTGCTTTTTTCATTAAATTTTTTTCTTAATTAATTACAATGCAAATCTAGAATTAAATTAACTCTGTAAATTTGAATTATTTATTATTTGTTCCAAATTCTTTGCAAATTTAATTATTTAAAATCTCTAATGAAACTCAAATTTATTCAAAAATCTTTGAAAATTCAATTATTTAAAATCTCTAATGAAATTCAAATTTATTCAAAAATCTTTGAAAATTCAATTATTTAAAATCTCTAATGAAATTCAAATTTATTCAAAAATCTTTGAAAATTCAATTATTTAAAATCTCCAATGAAATTCAAAATTATCTACTCAAAATTCTTTGAAAATTCAATTATTTAAAATCTCTAATAAAATTCAAAATGATTTACTCAAAATTCTTTGAAAATTCAATTATTTAAAATCTCTAATGAAATTCAAAATGATTTATTCAAAATTCTTTGAAAATTGAATCATTTAAAATCTCTAATGAAATTCAAAATTATTTATTATTTATATAATTATTTTCTATTCAATTTTACTAAAAATTTCAATTAATTTGATAATTCTTTAATAATACTTGTTTATAAATTTGAGTAACGTTAAAAAGTTGAATTAAAATTTCTCAGAAACTTAATTTGTTTAGAATTTTAGATGAAATTATTTTAAAGTTAAATAATTTTTTAAACAAACATTTATTATTAATTTCTTCACAGGAATTGAAATTTTCAAATGAAATTCAATTATTTCTGAATATTGCAACAATTTTGAATTAAAATATTTTCTAATTTAATTATAATTCATAACGTTTTTAAAAAAAATTTATTTTACAATTTAGTTTCTTGTAATAATTTTAATTATTTATAGAAATGAGAAAAACCGACTTATTTCTAAATCATTGTAATTCAAAGTTTGTAAAGTTGAAAAAATATTCAAGACCAATTTAAAGTTTTCAAATTTTTCAAAATTGTTTTTAAACACCAAAAAAAACCAGAAATTTTTGTAGTAATTTTTGAAATTCGATATTTTTCCCATATTTTTAATAAAATTCTGTGAAATTGCCTGATTTTCCTAACTTTTTTCGATTTCGATGAATTTCGTCAACTCGGAATAAATTAATTATTAATTTTTTTTTTGGGTAATTAAAAAGTACTTACCTATCGTTGTATTTTCTGTCTGAAGATCTGGAATGATAATCGTTTCTTCCCTTTCTTTCTCTGCTGTTTGATTTTCTTCGGTAACCCAATAATCCCCGTCTAGCTCGATTACTTCGTTCATCTGATTAAAAAGACCAAAAATTCGTAAGGAATAAATAAATAAATTCAATTTTAATTAAATAACAATGAAGTGGAAAAAAAGATTGAAAAACGTGATTAAATTGTTTTATAAACAATAATAGATGACAAAAACTGAAATCTGAATTTAAAAATTGTTTCTTTAAAATCTAGAAATACATTTAGAATTTTGTTGAAATTAATTTCGACTATTTAATTTTTACAATCATATTTAATTAAATATGAAATTCAATCATTTAGATTAAATTATAGGAAAGGATTAAAGTTTAGATTAAAGTTACGCTGAAAGTTTTATTTAATTAAATTAAATTAATTAAATTAAATTAATTTAATTAAAATAATTAATAAATTATTTTTATTTTATTAAATTTTTTTTAAAGAACTTAATGAAAGAATCACCCTGAGTATTCTCGGGTTAAATCGTTAATTTAATAGGGAAGTTAATTTAATAAGAAATTAATTAAAAATCTAGAAATTATTCGAATTATTAAATTAACAACCTGTTAAACTTTGAGCAAGAAGCAATTTATTTTTGCTCTCCTCCCTCACAATTTCTTCAATAGCCAACACCTTTTCTGCTTCTGAAACAAACAAAATTTTGAAATAATCTCAAATTTTTCCATTAATTTCAAATTTTTTACAATTCAGTTAAAGCTGAAAGAATTGTTCTTCTCTTTTTTTTCCATCACCTTGACTTCAATGTTTTATTATAATAAAAATTCTTGAAAAAAATAAATAAATCTAATTACTTTTGCTTTTATTCTCCTCCGCATTCTTTTTATTGTGACCTTTGTGCTTCAGTCTCGATACTTTTTGCAGTGGATTAGGAATAGCAGTGTAATTTTTAACAAATGCCATTAACCGTTTTTTAGCTTGTAATTTACCAAGAACAGGCTTAAGGGGTTTGGGACTTTCTGTTACTGGTGATTCAAGATCACTCGTTTGATTTCTGCTGTTATCCGGGGTCTGCGGTGTTGGAATATCCGACAGCGAGACATTAACATCTGCTGTAGATTCTTCCACTGAATCCGCCATTGGAAATATAATTTATTCTCTGCAATCAAAATAATGTCTAATTAACGATTTCAAATTAATAAATAAAATAAAATATTTCCCCCAAACAAAAAAAAAAAACAAAAATTAAAAATTAAATTTAGAAAAATTTAAAAGTTTTTCTAATTTTCTAAAATTTAAAACAATAATTAAAAAACATATTTTATATCAAAATATGATTTCAAAATGTTTAATTTAAAAAAACTCATGTGATAATTTTTCATGCAAAAATTAAAAATAAGTCGAAAATGATTTCCAAGAAACATAAATGGAGTAAAAAAAATATTTTATTACATTATTATTTTTCGTAACAATTCGTAACTTTTGTAAATATAAACAAATCTTGTCATGGAAAATAAAATCCGGTAATTTAAAATTTACAACTTTACAGAAACTTAACTTTATTTTAATTATTAATAAATTAATTTTTTTTAATTTATAATTAAAAAAAATCAATTTAACAAATCAAAAATAATAATTAAGTTATAAAAAAAATCTTCATCTTAAAAGTCAAAAGAATAAACTCAACATGAAGGGACAAAAGGATATTTAAATTAATAAAACTCTAATTAATTAATTAATTAACAATTAGTATTTTTTTCTCTCTTTACTAAAGAAAACATTTTTTTTTCCTCTGAAAATGACGACACGGAGAAAGTTTTTTCGTCTTTTCATTTAAAAGAAATTGAAAAATTGTAAAATTTATTAATATAACGTGACTGCGTCATTAAAGAGACAATTAGAGGGAAGAGACCGATTAACGACACAAGATTAAATAGCAAATATAAGCCGGAAGCACTGTTTGCAAATCGAAGCAATCAGCAAAGGCGGCGAGGTTTCTCAGCCCCTTACCTCGTTCTGCGAGGAGTCAGGAAATTGAAAAATCCAAAAACCTCATTATTTTATGTCGTGCACTAGCGATGGGAATTGTCAATTTCCCAAGGTGTATCTTCAGTATAATTTGCGATTTATAAACAAACTATTTAAACTAACACAATACACAACACAAAATAGAAATTCCGACACTCGTTGATGATGCAGACATAGCAGACATCTTGGTCATGCAGGATGACAACTGAGAAACGTGAAAAATTTCTTTCTTTTCTCACTACACTAATTTTTCAAGAATCTAATTTCAATAATTAGACATTTGATTCTTTTAATTATTATTTTTCTTACTATTCACTAATTATTGCGAATAAATTTTACAATTATCTATCTAGAAGATATAATAAGATAACTAAACGAGATGGATATTCTAATCGGAAATGTGTGCCCCGTCAGTTATTAATTTGACTACTTTTGTTAAATAAACATAACCTAAAAGTGTTGATATTAGACATGAAATAATGACATTTTAATTGATCTCGGAAATAGAAAATGTTAAATAAACAAAGAAATAAATTATTAAAACTTTGTAAATAATTGTCTACATACCTTTAACATTATTTATTTTTAAAGATAAACTACAATGAAAAATTACACTAGAGCAGGGTTTTAAATTTATTTTTCATTGACTGCAGTGCAGCCAAGTTGATTTTTTATTATTTCAGGTTGGCAGTAATGATAGTGGACAAACTTGTCCAAAAAGGAAGATCCAATCAGAATTTACATTGCAACCTAAAGTCTAGTTCACACGACTTATTATTCTTACCTACCCATCCCTGGTTTTATACGTAAATTAACACATTTTTTACGATTTTACTTGCGTAATTTACGTTTTGAAAAAAAATTCAAATTTAAATTGTAACGACAAAACAGTTTTTTCAAAAATCAAATTTTTTAATTTTGAAATAAATTAACCAAAACAATAATTATTTCAAATTAAAAATTTAAAACATTAAAAAATTCACTTTTAAACTGATATTTATTTATTTTCAAAAATGTTGAAAAAATTCGTAGCAATAATTCAATTATTTTCAAAAATACTAATAAAATTCGTTATAAAAATTCAATTATTTTTAATATGTAGGGGAACATAGTCTAGGTCGGCCACCTTTTTGACTTTTGTTTATAACTTTTTTTTAAAAATGAATTTGGACAATTGAAGTATATGGTTGGAAAGTCCTGTTTAATAGGAACATTTTTTCTGTACAAAGTAAATTGACAGGTTTAAAAATGAAAAAGTTATAAAGATTTAAAAAAAAAAAAATTTGTAGTCCAGGTTGGCCATTACAGTCAAGGTCGGCCATGTTTAAAATTCAAAGGGCATTAATCGTTAAAAAATAAAATAACATGTTTGGAGTTACGGAAAATTGATTCTTTATTGTTTACAGTTTGTAACTTAATGAAATAACAAAATAATAACAATAAACAATATAAAAAAATAAATATAAATAAAAAAAAGTTTTGAACTAAAATATTAATAAAATTAAATAAAAATATTAATAAGATGATCAATTATATTATGAGTTATACAGAATTGCAGTTTTTGCAAATGAAGTAGCTCGTCCTCAACTTTGCGCATTTTAAACACATAGTGGCCGACCTTGACAGTAAGTAACATTACCGAATTGTTGTAACCATAAAGAAATACGTTTCGGGATTCGATTTTTTACTTTGTTTTCCTTTCAACCATGAGTCCCACAAATTTTCTGCATACTTGCCTTGACGATTCAATTTGTTTTTTATCGTTTATTAATGGTTTTTCACATTATGCACAAAACTTTTTTTGAGCTTTTTTTGTACCGACGTCACAGAAAACACAATTTTCGATTTTCCGAAAATGTAATTGAACAAAAAGTTAGGTTTCACTAAGACAAGCTTCGACAAAAATGCGCGTAGGTGGCGCTAGTGAACTTGACAAAAAAACGCGAGTGGCCTACCTAGACAGTAGGCCAACCTTGACTACATTCCCCTACCTATTTTAATAAAATAACCCTCCACAATTCAATTCTTCAATAATTCTTTTTATAAAAATAATAAAATTCTTCGCAGGAATTCAATTATTTTAGATACAATTTTTAAAGTTTTTCTAAAGAATTCAATTATTTTAAAAAAAATTGCAACTAATTAATAAAATTCTTTTAAAGAATTAAATTCTTTTCTAAAAATTTAATAAAATTCTTTATAAATTTTCAATTACATACTTACAAAACAATTTGAAAAAAAATTCTTTGCTGAAATTCAATTATTTTTATAAATGTTAATAAAATTCTTTATAGAAATTCAATTCAATTCTTTTTAACACAATTATATAGGAATTCAAATTAAAATAAAAAAAATAAATATAAAAATAATTGAATTTTTAGAAAGAATTTTATTAAAATGTTTGAAAATAATTGAATTCTTGCAAAGAATTAAATTAATTAAATAAGTTTTTAATTTATATTAAACGTTTATTTAATTTGAATTCATACGAAGAATTTAATAAATGAAATTCTTTGAAAAATTTAAATAATTTTCAAAAATTTAAATAAAATTCATTATAAAAATTCAATTATTTTTTACACAATTTAAATAAAATTGCTTGCAAGAATTCAATTATTTTTATAAATAATAAAATTCTTGTTAGGAATTTAATTATAAATTAGTTACAATTTTTAATTAATTCTTTATAACAATTCAATTGTTTTTAAACTTTGTAATAAAATTCTTCGAAACATTTTAATTTCTCAAAAATGTTAATAAAATTGTCTACAAGAATTCAATTTATTATTGTAAAGAATTTAGTATTTTCAATATAATTTCAATCAAATTTCTGTAATGAATTCAATTTTTTTTAAACATTTTAATAAAATTCATCGAAGTAATTAAATTATTTTCAAAAAAGTTAATAAAATTCTACAGAAAAAAAATGGAATTATTTTCATAAATAATAAAATGCATAAGAATTGAATTTTTTTCATTAATAATAATTCTTCTATAAAAATTACTCATTTTTTAAAATTTTAATAAAATTCATTGAATGAATTAAATGATTTTTAAACATTATAATAAAATTAATCGAAACAATTCATTAATTTTCAAAAAAGTTGAAAAAAATTCTACATAAATATTCTTTTAAAAGATGTAACTCGTTTTCAAAAATTTTAATTAAATTCCTGGAATTAATTCAATTATTTTTAAACATTTTAATAAAATTCGTTGAAACAATTAAATTATTTTCACAAAACTTTATAAAATTCTACAGAAAATATGGAATTATTTTCATAAATAATAAAATTCAAAAGAATTGAATTATTTTCATTAATAATAATTCTTCTAAAAAATTTAATCATTTTCTAAAATTTTAATAAAACTCGTCAAAACAATTCAATTATTTTAATAAATTTTAATTAAATTCTACTGCAAAAATTAAATTAATTATGTAAGAGTATTTTTTATTTAATTTTTTTATATTATTTACTTTTTGAAAAAGTAGTTTTTTAAAATTATTCATTCTTTAATTTTCATTATTTAGTATTTTTAGTAATTGAATATAATTATATAAATGAAACGTAATAAATTATAAAATTATAAATCAGAAAAAATAATGTTAATATATGTAAATAGAAATCTCTTAATCGAAAAATTAGCCCAGTATTCGATTATAAGTGATTAAGAAAAAGTAAGGAAGCATTGAATATTTTTTTTTAATTCTATTGATAAAATTTGTTGAAAATAAATTATTATTTCCGCATAAAATCAAATCTGTACACTCCCATATTGCACTAATTGCACTATAGTTTCTATATTATGAAAATTAATTTTTATAATTCACACATTCGCCTCATTTTTTTAAATATATTTCCCACATGTATTTATATTTTTTTAATTATTTGTAATTAAATTGGTTGATTATGAAATTGTTCGTCAGGCGTAACGAGACTACCAAAAACACGTTGTATATTAGTATCTTTCGATGAATTAGAATTATTCTCATTAATTCGTGAACGTGAATTTGTTCTCGACAATAATTTTACATCACGATAATTATCATAGGAATTGTGATAGTTTGTTGTTGTTCTTGTTGTTGTTGGAAATGGTGACGACGATGTTAATAATGGAAATGGTGCAGTCGGTGTTTCAGATTCAGCAGAATCAGGAGCTGACATGTTGCCACCCTCTAATAATGATTCACTCAAAATAGAATCTGGAGTGCCATTTAAAGATTGTACATTTGAAAAAACAGGTCCACCCATGATGTCATTTATTTTCGACGCATTTCCCTTTATTGCCTCGGGTACTGTTGACGTACGTCGTAGCGTCGCTCGTTTCTGGCTACTACTGCATTTTAATTAACACAAGTTGTTCACCTTTTAATAGTGGTAAAAAAATCCAATTTTATCAAAAACCACACCATTCCAAAATATTTTTCATTTTTTGTTTGCTGTCACACTTTTGTTTCAATTCGATTCTCATAATGCTAATAATTAAATAAATAAATAAATAGCTAATAAATAAATATTAGGAATAAATATTATAAATAAATTTAACTTAAAAATCTAAACTTAAACTCTTAATATCAAAATTAATTCCTAATTCCTAAAAATAAATTGAAATCAAAATATTTAAAATCTATTCTTAAAAATGTTCAAAATAAAAAAAATGTTCAAAATGAACCGAAGTTTCAATAAATTCATTCAAAAGATATTTGTTATTTCTAATTGTTTGAATTCTAGTGAGATTTTATTTTACTGAATAATAAAAAAATAAATTATTTTACTTTTTCAATCTTTGCGCAACCAAATAATTGAAAACTCATCGAATAGAAAATGAAACAATTTGAATCGAATCGTCTAACATGCAATGCAATTTTACACAAAAAAGTGCACAATAAAGTTTATAAATTGTGTTTTGCAAAAAAACCAATATAATCAAAATTAAAAATTTAAATCGAATAAATTTAAATAAAGAAAAGTGAAAAATAAAAAATTTTAAAATTCGTTTTTGTAGAGAAAATTAATAAGCCCCAAATAAATATTTAAATAAAAATTCAAAATGAAAAGTTTACAAATATTCTTTCTTGCAAAGAAAATCAATATAGAAATAAATATTTTGTTATTAAAAAATCTACCCAATTCGTTAAATTAAAAATAAAAAATAAATATAAACCTTCTTAGAACAAATTTAACGAAATAAAAAAGAAAATGCAAATTTATCTTAAAATATTATTGAAAAAAATAGATAAAAGAAAAACTACTCACCGACTTCCGTTAACGGGAGAAATTATTTGATCCGGACTCGCAAAAGATTCGTTTCCATTATCCCAAGAATTATGACGACGATGATGACTTTTATCTTTATAGGCCTCGGCAATATTATTAACGCTACCAATAATTCGTCGTTTGTCCAATTCCTTCAATACCTTCTGTGGCATAACACTCCCGTATTTAGAAATTCCATTTGCGTCTAAAAGATCCTGAAAAAATAGAAAAAATTTAATTAATGAATTCACAGTAGTTAAAAAATTAATATTTTTTTACACAATTCTTTATGCAATTTTTTTTACTTCACAAAAATGAATGCAAATAAATAAATAAATACAGGAATAAATAATAATGAATAATTCTCCAAATAACAAATTTAAATCAAATGAACAAATTTTAGTTCTTAAATAACAAACAAACACAACAAATAGTTTAAAAAAAATTATGAGAATCGAATTAAAAAATTGTTACATATTCAAATTTTTATTTATCGAAAATTGTTAAACGAAAATTGTGTTATATTCAAATTTTTACGCAACATAATTTTAAATTAATCGAACTTTTATTGCAGATCTTTAATGGAAGTAAGAAAGAATTTTAAAACGAGCTAAAATGAAAAAAAAGAAGCAAATCATAAATTTACGCCAGTAACGTGGCTTAAATTAGAAAACACGATGTATCGCCCATGATTTATTGAAATTCGCTCAATGTAAATCATTCGGTTATAAAGTTCTCTCTCGAGTAAATCGATTATAATGAGTTATAAAAAATTATATATGCACCTATAAATGAATTTCATCGTACAAAATTTCATTAATGGTGTACTATAAATGATCGACATTTTGATACAACAATTTAAAAAAAAAAATATAAATTTCCATATTTTTAATGACTTTAAAAATTTACATTCAATACTTATTTCAATTTAAACAAATTTTTTGTAAATAAAATGTTCAAAAAATAAAATAAAAAAATATTATTTAAAATTTAACAACAAAGAATGAAAGAACTAAATGAAAAAAAAATATAATTAAAGAACTATTACTATAAATTTGGTAAATAAATAAAAAGTAATCTAACTTTAATTAAAGTTTTAATGTTAAATAATTTTTCCAAATTAAAAATTGTCCAATTGGGTTTTGAGAAAAAAAGCAAAATTTAAAAAATAATAAAGTTGAAATACCCTGGAGACGGAAAAATTTGGAGAATTTGAGTGAGCATTTGGGTTGGTCCATATATTCGTGGAATCTGGAAGATCATCATTATTTGCGTCATTAAGCATTTCCGAAGAATAAGTTGGTCGTGCCGGTATAATTGGTGAACGACAACAAACCCTGCAAATAATTATTAATAATTAGTCACTGTATATAGCACGTAACTTCAAAATATTCTCTTGATTCGAATTCAATAATTAAGTAAATAATAGTAATCATAATAATAATAATGATAACAATAAAATTAAAAAACAATAAAAACTTAAAAATATTATTACTGTGCCATATTATTATTATAATTACTTTATTATGTAAATTATAAAATTTGTTATTATGTCAATTTCAATTTTTGAATTATTTCAGATTCATCACAGGAATTCAATTATTTTTATAAATAAAAAAATTCTTTGCAGGAATTTAATTATTTTTAATACAATTTTAATTTTTTAATAACTATTTCTAGAAAGTAATTATTTTCAAGAATTTTATAATAAAAATATAAAAATTTATTTATTTTATATTACAAACCTACAATGTTAATTAAATTCTTCAAAAGAAATAATTTTTTCAATTTTAATAAAAGTTTTAGAAAGAAGTTAATTATTTTCATCTATATTAATAAAATCAGACTTCTGTCTGTTCATTGCTCCAAGCTTGAAAATTTTTATATATTTTTTCGTTTTGAGGCATTAGAATTCGAAAAACGTAAAAAAAATATCTGTCTGTATGCAAAACTTTGTTCGAGCATCAATTGAAAACGGTTTAACCAATTACAGTGAAACTTAACAGTCTATTAGGTATTAACGTAACTTAAAATCATAGCCTTAACCGATTGAAAAATATTATTAAATTATTTAAGAAATTCGAATTTTTGAATTTTTTCGTATTTTTGATAATTTTAGATTTTTTACCAAAGAGTGGAGAATATTAAATAAGTTAAAGTGTTTTTCAAGAGCACAAAAATAATAAAGCCAAATGCCACAAAAGAGAAGAAAAAATGTTGAATTTTAAGAAATTCGAATTTTTGAATTTTCTCGAATTTTTGATAATTTTAGATTTTTTACCAAAAAGTGGAGACTATTAAATAAGTAAAGTATTTTTCGAGAGCACAAAAATAATAAAGCCAAATGCCATAAAAGAGAAGAAAAAATATTGAATTTTAAGAAATTCGAATTTTTGAATTTTTTCGAATATTTGATAATTATAGATTTTTTACCAAAGACTGGAGACTATTGAATAAGTTAAGTTTTTTTCAAGAGCCCAAAAATAATGAAGCTAAATGCAATAAAAGTGACGAAAAAATGTTGAATTTTAAGAAATTCGGTCTTTCGAAATTTTGATAATTTAAATAGTAATATTTTCCTACCGAAATAGCTAATGGTAACTAATTATTAATTTTCCGGTCAAATCAAATTCCCGGTTATTTTCTGATTTTCCAGATTGGTAGAAACACTCTTAAATGTATTGGTAGAAACTAAAACTCGTCGAAGACGGGTACGACAGCTAGTAAATAATAAATCTCTTCGCAGGAATTCAATTATTTTGAATACAATTTAAATAAATTGTGTTGTGAAAATGCAATTATTTTTGAATAAATAATAAAATTCTTTGCAGGAATTTAATATTATCTCCAGTAAAATTTTTCCAAAGAATTTAATTATATTTTTGAAAATTCTAACAAAATTCTTAAATAAAATTCAATTTATCTTCAATAAATTTTAATAAAATTCTTTTTAACAATTCAATTATTTTCAATATAATTTTATTTAAATTCCTCGAAGAAATTTAATTATTTTTGAATATTTTAATTAAAATTCTTTGAAATAATTCAATATTATTTTTTTTAATTTAAATAAAATTCTTTGCCAGAAGTAAATTATTTCTGATTTAAAACTATAAAAAGTTATACAAATTGTAACCTTTTTCTTTAATAAATATGTTTTCTTTTAGGATTAGAAAAAAAGTCACACTAATTTTAAACTTTAAAACATTTAAAAAGAAAAATATTCCGATAAAAAAGGAAACAAAAAAGGAATTAAAAACAATTAACATTAAATTTCGAACATACATCCGGAATACAGTGATTATTATTTTACTAGCCAAACTATCCGCGCGCAAGCGCGCGGGAATGTTGTATGGGGCTGCTTATTTTAAACAATTTAAAAAATTTTAAAGAAATAATTATTATAACCTAACAAAGAGATTTTACTAACTAAAATTCAAATAATTTCACTCAATGGTCTCAATTTAAATAGAATTTACATTACTAGACTTAAACTATGGCTAGAACAATTACAATTAGTATCTGGGTCATCTTTTGCATTGCTTATTTTATAAAGCCATTTTAAATTAAATACTTTTTAAAGAAATAATAATTATTACACACTGAAAAAAGTTTTACTTGAAATAGCGATAAGTTTCTCTAGAATAACGAAAGTATTAATTAAAGCACTGAAAAATTTCGCTACTAAAGTGAAATCTGTAGTTCATCCAGCTAAATATTTTTTGCCTTGCATAACGAAAAAAGAATTAAATTAACATCAGATTTTCTACATTCAAAAAAAACGAATTCAAATAGAAATTAATCATTTTACAACTTAACCAAATTCACCCCAGAAATCACTGAATTCGATAATTTACAAGAAAGTCAGACAAAAGCAGGGTTCCTACAGAATCTGGAAATCATGGAAATCATGAAAATGGTATGGAATTTTTAAAAGGCTTCTGGAAATCAGGGAAATCATGGTAAAGGCCTGGAGTTTTTAAAAGTTTCTAAATTTTTTCAGTTTTCCATTTTTTCTCTTGAATAAAAATTCAAATAATAATAAAGCTAAACCAAATAGTGGAGACTATTAAATGAGTAAAATATTTTCCAAAAGCACAAAAATAATGAAGCTAAATGCCATGAAAAAGAAGAAAAAATATTGAATTTTAAGAAATTCGGTTTTTTGAATTTTTTCGATTGTTTGATAATTTTTGATTTTTTACCAAAGAGTCGAGACTATTAAATGAGTAAAATATTTTCCAAAAGCACAAAAATAATGAAGCTAAATGCCATGAAAAAGAAGAAAAAATATTGAATTTTAAGAAATTCGGTTTTTTGAATTTTTTCGATTATTTGATAATTTTTGATTTTTTACCAAAGAGTCGAGACTATTAAATGAGTAAAATATTTTCCAAAAGCACAAAAATAATGAAGCTAAATGCCATAAAAAAGAAGAAAAAATATTGAATTTTAAGAAATTCGGTTTTTTGAATTTTTTCGATTTTTTGATAATTTTTGATTTTTTACCAAAGAGTCGAGACTATTAAATAAGTAAAGTATTTTCCAAAAGCACAAAAATAACGAAGCTAAATTCTATAAAAGAGAGGAAAAAATGTTGAATTTTAAGAAAATCGGATTTTTGAATTTTTTCGAATTTTTGATAATTTTTGATTTTTTACCAAAGAGTCGAGACTATTAAATAAGTAAAGTATTTTCCAAAAGCACAAAAATAACGAAGCTAAATTCTATAAAAGAGAGGAAAAAATGTTGAATTTTAAGAAAATCGGATTTTTGAATTTTTTCGAATTTTTGATAATTTTTGATTTTTTATTAAAGAGTCGAGACAATTTAATAAGTAAAGTATTTTCCAAAAGCACAAAAATAATGAAGCTAAATCCCATAAAAGAGAAGAAAAAATGTTGAATTTTAAGAAAATCAAATTTTTGAATTTTTTCGAATTTTTGATAATTTTAGATTTTTTACCAAAGAGTCGAGACTATTAAATAAGTAAAGTATTTTCCAAAAGCACAAAAATAACGAAGCTAAATTCTATAAAAGAGAGGAAAAAATGTTGAATTTTAAGAAAATCGGATTTTTGAATTTTTTCGAATTTTTGATTTTTTACTAAAGAGTCGAGACTATTAAATAGGTAAAGTATTTTCCAAAAGCACAAAAATAACGAAGCTAAATTCTATAAAAGAGAGGAAAAAATGTTGAATTTTAAGAAAATCGGATTTTTGAATTTTTTCGAATTTTTGATAATTTTTGATTTTTTACCAAAGAGTCGAGACAATTTAATAAGTAAAGTTTTTTCCAAAAGCACAAAAATAATGAAGCTAAATCCCATAAAAGAGAAAAAAAAATGTTGAATTTTAAGAAATTCGGATTTTTGAATTTTTTCGAATTTTTGATAATTTTACATTTTTTACCAAAGAGTCGAGACTATTAAATAAGTAAAATATTTTCCAAAAGCACAAAAATAACGAAGCTAAATTCTATAAAAGAGAGGAAAAAATGTTGAATTTTAAGAAAATCGGATTTTTGAATTTTTTCGAATTTTTGATAATTTTTGATTTTTTACCAAAGAGTCGAGACTATTAAATAAGTAAAGTATTTTCCAAAAGCACAAAAATAACGAAGCTAAATTCTATAAAAGAGAGGAAAAAATGTTGAATTTTAAGAAAATCGGATTTTTGAATTTTTTCGAATTTTTGATAATTTTTGATTTTTTACCAAAGAGTCGAGACTATTAAATAAGTAAAGTATTTTCCAAAAGCACAAAAATAACGAAGCTAAATTCTATAAAAGAGAGGAAAAAATGTTGAATTTTAAGAAAATCGGATTTTTGAATTTTTTCGAATTTTTGATAATTTTTGATTTTTTACCAAAGAGTCGAGACTATTAAATAAGTAAAGTATTTTCCAAAAGCACAAAAATAACGAAGCTAAATTCTATAAAGAGAGGAAAAAATGTTGAATTTTAAGAAAATCGGATTTTTGAATTTTTTCGAATTTTTGATAATTTTAGATTTCTTACCAAAGAGTCGAGACAATTTAATAAGTAAAGTATTTTCCAAAACCACAAAAATAATGAAGCTAAATCCCATAAAAGAGAAGAAAAAATGTTGAATTTTAAGAAATTCGGATTTTTGAATTTTTTCGAATTTTTGATAATTTTACATTTTTTACCAAAGAGTCGAGACTATTAAATAAGTAAAGTATTTTCCAAAAGCACAAAAATAATGAAGCTAAATCCCATAAAAGAGAGGAAAAAATGTTGAATTTTAAGAAAATCGGATTTTTGAATTTTTTCGAATTTTTGATAATTTTTGATTTTTTACCAAAGAGTCGAGACTATTAAATAAGTAAAGTATTTTTTAAAAGCACAAAAATAACGAAGCTAAATTCTATAAAAGAGAGGAAAAAATGTTGAATTTTAAGAAATTCGGATTTTTGAATTTTTGATAATTTTCGGTAATTTTAGATTTTTTACCAAAGAGTCGAGACAATTTAATAAGTAAAGTATTTTCCACATTAAAAAGTTTGACATTAAAAAATATATAAAAAATGCCAATACTTAACCCACAAAATTAAATTTTCAAAACAAACAAATGAATGCAGATAATTTGCTAACGGAAAGGAAACTTACGATTATTATAATGTATGTATATGTATATGTATATGTATATTTCTATTTTCTATCAAAACGTATAAAAAACAAAAGAATAACTATAACTAACTTCAAGTGTGGACAGAGATCCGGAAATCTGGAATCACGACGATTATTATATATAATTTTTTTTTATTATTATTTATTAAATAAATAAATAAAATAAATATTTTTATAAAAATTTTTAAATATTAATTAATTAATATTTAGAATTAGGTAGACATTGGTCTTTAAATTCTTCCTGATAAAAGAAAATTGCATTTAAATTCGAAGTGAATATTTTATTATTTTTAAATAATTTATAAAAATGATCGTAGAAAAAAGATTGCATATATATCCGTAAGTGCATCGCGTATATAGAAATCAATATTGTTTCTATATATTATGTGTTGTTGCACAAAGTAACAACTTTATATGCAATTCATAATATTGATAAAAATTATGCGCCAATAAATAATTTTGTTCACATTCCGCACTTATTTTTACAAAAAATTAATAAATAACTAAATAAGTAAATAAATAATTAAATAAGTAAATAAATAACTAAATTAGTAAATAAATAACTAAACAAGTAAATAAATAAATAATAAGTAAATGAATAAATAAGTCAATAAATAGAAAAACGAAGAAATAAAAAAGAAAAATAAATATTCTTTTAATTAAATTTCCGCTCAAACTCGTTAAATAAAATTGTTCAAAATCGATCAATTAAAACAATAAAAACAATTGCAGAAAAGATAATACAAATTTAAAATCGAAATTATTAAAGTAACAAATTAAAACAATAAATTTAAAAACAATCGGAACTTTAGAAGGTTTAAAAAGAAATTATATTTGAAGCTTATTAATTTTTTCTTCTCTCCTTCTTTATTTTTTCTGTAATTATTTACTTATTTAGCAATGAGGTATAAATAATAAACGGGTTTTTACTATAATTTAGCAATGAGGTATAAATATAATATAAGGAATAAAACAAAAAGGAACTTACGAATTGACGTCCTCTAATTTTTTCAAAAGCCGCTCGTTTTCTCTGCAAACAATTTCCTGATCCCTTATCACCTGCTCGTGTGTCGAATAAAGTTCAGCGTTTTCACGTCGCAATGCTTCATTCTCATTAATGTAGGCGCGGACCAATTGGCTGAGCTCGGAATTTTCAAGTTCCGCCAATTTATCCAAATCAACTGGTGGAGTTTTTGGCACACGGCTTTCAGCTGAAGGAAATAATTGACACAATCATTTCAATTATTCAATAATTTCACGACAAGCAAATAAGTGAATAATCAAATAATACGAAAATAGACCAAATAAAACGAAAACAGACCAAATAATATACGAAAACAGACCAAATAATACGAAAACAGATCAAATAATACGAAAACAGATCAAATAATACGAAAACCGACAAAATAATAAGAAACCCGTCCAAATAATAAGAAAACTGATCAAATAATTAAAAAAAGAGATTAATAATAAAGATAAATTTAATAATTAATAATAAAAAGATTTATAACTCTGAATTGCATAAAAAAATGAAATTAAACAAAATTAATAATTAAAATAAATGAATTAGCTTTTTCCTGAGGCGTGAAATTTATTTTTCAAAGTTTTATTTATTTTTTAAATTTACCTTTAGAATCATTTCGATTGCTACTCGAGGAATCATTCCCAAGATAAAGAGCTGCTCTGAGACTATTGTTTTCCATTTGTAATGCGTCAACTTCTCTCTTTAAACTTAAAATTAACGCCTCTCTAGGATCCTAAAGGAATAAAAATACAAAATTTAAGAAAATTCATTAAAAAGACGCATTTTAAAAAAAACCTTTTGCGCAATTGCAATTTTTCCGGCAAATGCTCATACCATTACAACAATGGGTTTGGTCCGAATTTTTTTGGCTCTTGATGCATAACGTAATGTATTTATCGTCTCACTGGCATTGGAACGAGCCGGCGATATACAGGCAATCTGCAAAAATTGCAAAAAAAAAAAAAAAAATTACTAATAAATCACACACTCGAATAATAATAAAACTCTAATGATATTCAATCTCATAAATTATGCGAATAATAAAATCTCTAATAGACATTGTTAGTAGAACAAATAAACAAAAACTATAAAAGTAAATAAAAGTAAATATAATAAATATAAATAAAAATTGAAAGATGGCTTCGCCCGTGTATTTCAATAAATAAAACTAATAAATTATATGAATAATATAAAGAACGTTTAATTGATTAATCAATAGACAAATATTATTTCTTTTTTAAACTCACCATCAGGGAGACTCCGTTTCCTGCTAAACTATCAGCTAATAATTTAGTTAATTTGCTATCTCGATATGGAATATGAACACCTTTCTTTCTACCATCACTTAAAGACGCAATACAGTAACCTGTTAAAAAGCCATATTAATTTTATTAGCGAGAAAATTAGAACCAGGATTTAATTCAACAAAAATAAAGAAACCACAATTCCTCAATAAAAAATATTTTACAGACAATTTTTCCTTTTCATGAATTTTTCTATTAAATTATATTAAAATTATTCATGGAAAATTCAATTCTTTTAAACAATTTTATTAGAGTTTTTGTAAATAATTACATTTATTTTAAGAATTTCATTAAATTTCGTAAAAATAATGTAATTTTTTAAAAATATTTTTAATTGAAAATTTTGAAAATAATTGAATTATTTTGAAGAATTTTATTAAAAACTTTTGAGAACAATTGAATTGTTTAGAAAAATTTTATTACAATTTTTAAAAATAATTGAACCTGTTAGAGAAATTTTATTGAAATTATCTTAAATATAATTGAATTTTTTCCTAAAAATTTTATCAAAATATTTTAAAGTAATTGAATGTTTTTAAGAACCTTTATTAAAAATTTTGTAAATAATAATTTTTTTAAAAGTATTTCATTAAAATTGGCGAAAATAATTGAATTAATATCAAAATTCTTGAAAATAATCGAATTTAATTAACATTTTTAAAAATAATTGTATTCTCTCGAGAAATTTTATTAGAATTGTATTGAAAATAATTGAATTGCTCTAAAAAATATTATCATTGATGAGAATAATGAAATTTTTTCGAAAAATGTTATTAAAAGTTTTGAATAATAATTCTTTAAATCAATTAAATTTATTCATTAATAAACAATTAATTAATTAAGAATCAACAATTAATTAAATAACTAATACCTAAATAGTATCATTAATATTATTTATTCTTAAATTAATTAGATTTACTCAATAATTATTTAAACTAATTGAATTATTTTATCCGTAAATTTTTAATATCGAAAAAACTTGACTAGAATTAATGAAAAAGAAATTTTGATAAGAATATTAATTGAATCGTAAACATAAACGCAAAATATAAAAAAATGTTGCCCTTTTTCTTTACACAATTTAAATAAATTTTTAACATTGACATAGCGCGACAGACGTAGATAGTTAATAACGTAAGAGCAATTTGTTATTTTTAGACTACTTGTAATTAAGTAAATCGATAATCATGGTCTAGGTAAAGAATTTTATATATAATAAATTCAAATTGATCACTTAAAAGGCTAAAGAACAGGAAAAAAAGAAGTTATCATTTATAATCGAAATGAAAATTCTCCATTTTCTATTTTTTTCTCATTTTATTTAATTAATTAAACTTTAATTAATCCGTGAAAGTAAATTTTTCAAAAATTACCCACACGAAAGAAATAATTAATTCTAAATGTAATTTTTTTATTTTTTCACATTAAATAAATAAATAAATGAAAAATAATTGAAAATATTTAAAATTAGTTTCTTTGAAATATTCAAGAACCAAAAAATATTCTCTTCAATGAAAATTACTGTCGAGAAAAGAGAAGAAAACAAAAAATAAATAAAAAATAGTTGAAAATAATTTTTAAAATATTCAAGAAATAAAAAATATTCTCTTCAATGAAAATTACTGTTGATAAAAGAGAAGAAAACAAAAAAGTATTTATCGATCAACTAAATATCGTAAATAATTGATAAGCAAAAAAAATTCGCATTTTCACTTGACAGGCAAGAGGAAAAAAAATGTCTAGGAAGAACTTCAATTCCTTAAGGAGAAATAATTTATTGCTAATCGATTGTACTATCGATGTTTTAAGTAAACCATTACACGGAAATTTTTTTTTCTATTTTTTTTTTTTTTGCATAAAAGACGAATCAACTGACAGAAAATGGAATCGTGCAATTTTTATCAGAAGTGCAATTTAATCAAAACTTTTTTTACTCCAAATTCATAGAATCTTAATTTTTTTTAAGTTCCTTTAATTAAAATTTACTTTTCATAAATGAAAATTCTACTAAATGAATTTAAAAAAAGCATCAAATAGAAGAAAGACAATCGTCAAAATGTATATGAAAATTTCTTTAAATTTACATTTCCCTTTCTTTTTAATTATTTAATTCCTTTTTCTTAAATTTAAAATCAATTAAAAAAAAAAATTAATTAACTTTTTTAAATTATTGAAATTTTTAAACTAATAAATTTAATTAATTTGATTTGAAAACTCACCTAAAACCATCAGACTTTTGTTAATGTTGTTCGCCTCCTCGAGTGTTTTACCCTCGCTATGAGTTTTTTTCGTCATTTCACTACCGGCTAGATCGACGAAATTGATTTTCCCCTGCCTCGTAATGAAAACGCCATTCTCCATCTAATGAAAAAGAAAAATAAGATGAATTGGAAATAAATTATAAACTAAATAATTAATCATAGAGGAAGTCAATTATTATATTATATAAAAGACAATAGAGTAATTTAGAGGTTCACCTGCTGCTCGGAAGTGATGTGAACAGTCAGTATTGTATGGCTTCTACTGGAATGATCGTTCATATTGTGCGAACCGACAGCTCTGTTTCTCATTCCTTAAAAAAAAATAAAGAAATAAATTAATAAATTATTTATCTACAACTAAAATTTTCAATTTATATAAATTATAAAAATCAAAAGTCAATATTGGAAAATTTTTATGTTTCAAAATCAATTTTTAGTTTTTTTATTTGCAATAATTTTTGTTAATGATACTAAAATATTAATTTAATTTAAGTTAATTTAATTAATTAATTTACTTATTTATTAATTAATTAATTAATTAATTTATTAATTTATTTATTAACATGTAAATTTTAATATTATTGTAATTTTCTATATTTCTTTTTATAAAAACGAAAAAATTCCAAAGGCAAAATAATTAATCGTACGAATGTGCATTTAAATAAATAAATTTTATTTTAAAAATACTTATGAGAGCTGAAGGTAGAAATTTTTGTTTTCGCACTTACCTTCTTCTAATACTGCTAAAAGATCGTCAAGTTCTTCACACTCAACAGTGAAAAGATTTTCGACAAAAAAACCACGTGATTTCTTACTCCATCGAACGGCGAGAGGTTTTCTCAAACCTGGATTTAATAAATCTATAACCTGCAAAAAATGTTTATGGTATTAAAAATTTTTAATTAGAAATTAAATTAATTATTGAATTCAATTTAATTAAAAAAATGTTTTTTTAAAAATACTTAGTATTTTTTTCATTCAATTTTTTTTCATTCAAATTAGATAAATATCAATATTATTAAATTACGAGAAACTAAAATTGAAATAAAATAAAGAATAACAAAAAAAAATACAATTTATGGAATTAAATTTTATATGAAAAATTACTATTTAAAAAAAAGAATTTTATTAGTTCGTTATGCACATAAATAATAATTTTGAAAAAACAAACCTTCTCGTTATAAATTTCCAAAAAAGAAGCTTTCAGGACAAAATGACATTCATGTCGTTCTTGTAGGAGTTTAAAGAGGTAGACAAATGAGCGGAAGACCAATCCATGATCCTCTGAATAGGGATTCATTTTTAAAAACTGAAAATAAAAATGTCAATTATTATTATTACTATACCTAACAAGTAACAAATTATTTTCAGAAATTTTAATAAAATTCTTCCAATTATTTTCAATACAATTGGAATAAACTTTCTCGAAAGAATTCAAATATCTTTAATGCAATTCGAATAAAATGTCAGGAAAGAATTTAATTATTTTCAAAAAAATTTAGTAACAAAAATTAAATTATAACAATTAATAAAAATCTTCTACTGAATTAAATTACATATTTTGAATACAATTCTAATCAAATATCTCGAAAGAATTTAATTACTTTCAAAAATATTATATTAATAAAAATAATTAAATAATAATCAATACAGAATTAAATATTATTTTAATTTAATAATTCAATTATTTTCAAAAATAGTAAAATTTTTCGAGCATTTAACGTTATATAAATTAATTAATAAACTAAATTAATGAACGAAAATTAATTTCTTTTATGATTTAAAAAAAGAAAATTAATTTCATTAAAGAAGTATAAATTCATAAGTCAATTAATAATTAAAAGTGAAAAAATAAAAAAAAAAAGTAAAACTAAAAGAAAAATTGAAACGCTAACTATTAAAATTAAATGAATCAATTTAGCGAAGAAAAGAAAAAAAGGAGAAATTTACATTTGGAAATATAATTGTCGATTGAAATTCGTTCAATTCATTGTGATTAAAAATACAGTTACACAAAATAGTCTTAAAGCAATAGGTTTGCGTGTCATGTTGATATGCGAGATAAGTTCAAACTATGTTCAACTTGTTCGATCGATTGTCACTTTCACATATGTTTCCTACATATACATCTGTTTCTTAATAAATGTTTTATATATAAAAACAAAAGTTTGAAAGAATAAAAGTAAACGAATTTATAATTTTAAATACTTAAAAGTTAAAAATCATAAAATTTAAATTTAAATATATAATGAATTTATAGACTTTTTCCTTTCTTTTATTTTAATTTTTATTAAATTTTAATTTTATTAATTTTATTTCCTTTTTGAAATACATTTTTAGTGTAATAAAAGTTGCAAATTTTCTCCTTATAATAAAAACTACGACATTTCAAAAATTATATTAAAAAATATAAACTTGTTATACCAAGTTGAAGTCCACAACGTTGATCAACGAAAAAAAATTGTTCACTAAGTAAATTAATTAAAAATGACGCACCAATATTGACACAAAAATATGTAGAAAAAAAAGATTGATGCTTGTGTTTTGATAATAATTATTTAAATATTAAATTAAAAATAATACTTGATTGCATTAAATAATTTTTTTTCGTTGATCAACGTTGTGGACGTTCTCACAATATTTCGGAGAAAATAGAAAATTTTAAAACTTTTTTTTTATAATTTCTATAAACTTTTCAAAAATTTTCTTTCTTTTCGATGAAAAAAAATAAAAATTGTAATTTTATTCTTTTTTCAAAGTGAATTTAAAAAGAAAAATAATGCAAAAAAATAAGTTAAATAAAAATGTGACAAGAGGGAGGAAGAAAAAAAATATATTTACCAGTCCAGGTGGTCCCGTAAGAGTATGCGTTTTCCCACTTCCGGTTTGGCCGTAACAGAAGACAGTACAACTGAAACCCTCAACTGCCATTTCTATTAGCTTTTTAATTCCGGAATATAATAAAATATCCTCCTGAGTGGCTGCAGGCTCAAAGACAGCATTATATGAAAATAACTTTGCCTTCTTGTCCGTACTGTGCGAGAAGCCATCACACTATAAAAATGAAAAATTACATTTTTTTAATCACGTTTATTTATAATTTATTTTTTATTAAAATTGATTTTTCAGTGAATTTAAACACTTTTTTCAAATTTATAGTTCAATTCATATTTTATTTTTTTAAATATTATTATAATGTAAGAAATTGAAAAATTAATATTTATTTATTTGATAAACCAAATTAATATTATTATTACAACTAGCAAGTGTTATGCAAATTACAGAATTTTTAATTTTCAAATATGAATTTTTGAATAATTTCAGATTCAAACTTTAAAAACATTCAATTATTAACTAATTTACTAATTAATTATTCTTGTTTATTTATTTCAAAAATTTTAATAAACTTTTTTGCAAGAAAATTTTTTCTGTCATCTTGAAAAAAATTGTTCATAAAATTTAATTATTTTCAAAATTTTTAAAAAAACTTCATTACTTTAAAAATAACTCAATGAAATTCTTCAAAAAGAATTTAATCAAAAAACTCTAACTTCACGTGAGGACAGAATATCTCGATTATTATTATATAATATAATATAATAATAATAATATAATATTATTATTATTATTTCCTAGGGTTATAGTATAAAAATTTTTTTATTTTTAAATTAAAAAAAAATGACTGTAATAAATTTAATAAAAATATTGAGATAAAAATGGAAAATTTTATGTACAAGAAAAAAAAATTTTCCAATACGATCAATAAAGTGAAGTTATACTTTTCGTCTATTTCCGTTATAAAACAAATAGTTTTGTTTTTATTCAAGTTAGGTCAAACAATACTTTTCCTCTTTCTCTATTTAAGTAAATGACAATATTTCTCCTTTCATTTTGTTATTTGAGTTTGTGAATAAAAAGGAAAATGTGAAAAGTAAAAAAAAAATTCGTCGAAAAAAAACATACATATAGGACTCTTTATCAGATTAATTTTCTATATAATTTGACATTTGTTATTAGATGCATATTGTATAAAACCTATAATAGGAGGCTATATACTGTTATATATAAAGATTGCAAAGGTAAATCGAGTCAGAAATGAATGCTTACGTATATCTGTCCTCCGCCAGGAAATTGAACGGCCATGTCATCCCTGGCTTTAATTTCCTTATTACTGAGCGGACGCACTCTGCAAAAGAAAGGGAGAAATTTTTTAAATTTTTTATTTTTTATTTGAAATACTGGTGATAATTAACAAAATTATAACTTAATTCTAATTTATAATAAAATTTTCCATTCTATTCATATACATTTTCTAATAATACTTTTTTTTAATTTTGTATTTAAAAAATTAAGTAAATAAAATTAAATAGAATTTTCTTTTTATCTTCTCTCTAATTTAATTTAACTAATTTAATTTCAAGAAATTTTCAAAAATATTTTTGAAGATAAGACAAATTATATTTATTAGACTATTAATTATTTAAGTAGACAATTAAACTAATTGTATACTTATTACTTAAATAATTAATAGTCTATAATAAATATAATCTAATAGTCATCTAATTAAAAATAGCTTGGAAAAAAATCACTTTTGTCAGAATTCGAACCTCATGGATCAAAATTAATAAAAACAAGTAATTTACCACGTAGCCAATGAATAAATTTTTCAAATAACTATTTTTTTCTCTACTATTTAAATTTATTTCCTGTAATAACTGTTTAAAAAAAAATTACTGTTTTGAAGTAAAAATGATCAATTAAAACAAAAATAAATGTTCAAAGGCAAAAATTCGGAAAAATAATAAAAAATTACAATAATTTTGATATAAATAACATACCTAATGACGACATTGATATTATGGTCTGGAAGCAAATGTTTCGAGGCAATCGCTCTTCGATCTCCGACATTTAGTTTTTCTATACTCCCAGTTCTGTAAACAATTTAAAATTCTGTTAATAATAATTATAAAATTTAATTTTGCGAACAATTAAAATTAAACTCTATGAATAATTAAAATTAAACTCTGTAATTAATTAAAATTCAATTTTTCGAACAATTATAAAATTAAACTCTATGAATAATTAAAATTTAATTCTCATTTTCTAAAAAAAGAATTTTTTCTTCTTCATATTTTCTTTTTTTGTTTCGTTTCGTGTTTTTTTCTCTGTGACAGAAAGGAAAGTTTTTCTGAGCGAAAAGGAGACGACAGAAATAGGAATTACTCATATGGAAATTTTTATGCGTCTAAAGAAAAAGGGTTATATTCAAAGCGAATTTTATTTAATAGCTCATCATTATAAACACATTTTTCCTATGTCAGTAAAAATGATTCTAGAGTGACGATTTTCAAAGTGGCCAATAAAAAAGAAAACTTCGTAAACACATTTTTGTGAAAACAAAGTTTACTATTTCATTTTATTTACGCCACAAATTTATTTATTTATTTAAAGGCAACATTCAATAAATTGCATATTATTAAAAAAAACAAATTATTCAACTGTCGATACAACTCGGAGACAATTTTTATTAATATTTTATTAATATTTTTATTAACATTTTATTAATATTTGTTTGTTAAATATTTTATAAAAAAAATGTATTTTTCTTGTTAAATAAATAAATAAATAAATAAATAAATTATTAGGATTATTATTTTTACCGAATAAAAAAAGGGAAAAATAGTTTATATAATTTCTCTAATTATTGATAATTTGAACTAATCCAAAATATTTAAATTACTTGGATAAATAAATTAACTAACAGACAGATAATGAATGAATGAATGAATTAAGAACAAAGGCAATGATTTTAAAATAATATTTATTAATTTAATTTTAAGTAATATTTATTAATTTATTTTATATTTATATTTGTTAAAATTTTTCCTTTTTAACTAAAGTGGAAATTTTTTTCTCAAGTCTCTAAAATAAAAACTTTCTTTTCTGGTCATTGCACTTTTAAAAGTTAAATCTTACAAGTCGTGTAGTAGTTTTATATATAGCTTTGCAAAGCTTTTGAACTATAAGCGTGTACACTCACATGTGAATAAATATATTAAAGTCTTAAGTGTAAATTAGCTGAAAATAGATTAAAAATATATTTTTTCTCAAGCCATCAAAAAGTAATAAATTACAAAAAAAAAGAAAAAAAATATATAATATTTTATACTAAATATTGTCACATTTAAATTTTTTGCTCAGCAAGTATTGAAAATAATAAATTTGATAAAAAACTATTAGTTCTCCAAATGGCTTTTTTGTTTTTTTATTTATTTACTTTACAAATTTACGGTTTTCTACTTTTTTAATAATTTTTCCTTTTGAATGTTTTAAATTTTAAAATTAATTTTTCCAAAATCATTGAATTCTTGCAAAGAATGTTATTAAAAAATTTTTTAATGTTTTTTTAAATGTTTTCAATTTTCAAACTAATTTTTTGAAAATCCTAAATTTTTTTGGAGAATTTCTTTTTGTTTTAAGTAATGAAATTTCTTTAATAATTTTAATTGAAAATTTTAAAAGTAATTTAATTTTATAGAGAAATTCTTTCAAGTTTTTAAAATAATCGTGTTTCTTAATAATTTAAATTAAATATTTTATTATTGAATTTTATTAAAATTTCCAGAAAATAATTAAATTCTTCTCAAAATTTTATTGTAGAATTTTTCCAAATAACTTAATTTATTCCTAAGGAATTTTATTAAAATATTGAAAATAGTTGAATTCTTTCAATTAAAATCAAAAGATTTTGACAATAATTGAATTAATAATTTTTACTATTAAATTCTATTAAAATTGGCAAATTAAACATTGATAGAAAATTGATAGAAAATTAAATTCTTTTAAACAATTTTATTAGTGTTTTTTTGAAAATTGAAAAAAATTTAGTTCTTTTAAAATAATTTTTATTGAAAATTTTCAAAACAATTGAATTAAACAAAGAATTTTTTTCAACCTACTAAAATAATCGTGTATGTTAATAATTATAGTTCAAAAAATTGATTATTGAATTTTATTGAAATTGTATTGAAAATAATTCAATTCCTGCAAAGGAATTAATATCATATATATAAATATTTTTTAAAAATAAATGTACAAAAAATAAAAAAAATTAAAATAATAATAAAATCGAAAAAAGCAAAATTTACCAAAATAAAAAATAAAATACGCGAATAGAAAAGTTTGGGATAATTTTCTAAACAAAAAAATAATAAAATTACCATTAACGTCAGTTGTATAATTAAGACGCACTTGAGGTGCGAACGGTCACCCTTCAACAATACCCACCCTCTCAATTGTCATATTATAGAATTAGAATATTAAAAATAAAAAAAAAAATGTGTCATTTCACTGAAATAATTAGTCAATTAATCATAATCAAGCGTATCGATAAGTGTCACCTAAGGGTAAATTACAAGCGACAATACTTTATATATTTTATAAATTATTTCTCGTTACGAATGCATATAGGTAAAATAAATTTATATTTTATTATCAAAGGGCAATTTCTGTTTGCATATGCGTGAAGAGGCGCACAGCACTGCAACTTCTCGTGACTACTTAATGATTACTATCGTAACAGAAAATAATCATTACGAATGACTGGATCGAAACTTTTATACATAGACAAAATTATAGAAAGTTTTTTCTTTAACACCTGCCTTTTATATTCGTTACGATTACAAACTACAATAATATGTAATAAAATATTGAAAAATAAAAGACTGCTCTTCAGTTTCTTTCATCTCAAGAATAAGTCATAATTTTTTGAGAATATTCAATAGAAAAATTTACAAATTTAAAAAAATTTTTTCGCAATTAAAAATCTCACAAAAATACCAATTGAAAATCTATTTTATTATATAGTAAATATTACGAGCTAATTTCGGTATTTAATTTATTATTATTATGCAAATTATAAAAAAAATGTAATTTTAAATACAAATTTAAATTTTTAAAATCGAAATTAAAAAAAAATCCACTTATTAACTGATTATTATTATTATTATTATTATTTATTGTAATGAAAAATTTTAATAAAATTCTTCGCAAAAAATTCAATTATTTTCATAAATAATAAAATACTTCGCAATAATTGAATTCTTTTCATAAATAAAAAAATTCTTCGCAGGAATTCAATTACTTTCAATTCAATTTTAATTTAATTCCTCTAAGGAATTTAATTTTTTTTAAAATTTTAATAAAATTCTTCAAACGAATTCAATTATTTTTAAAAATTTTGATAAAATTCTTTAAAAAAATTCAATTCTTTTCAATACAATTTTAACTACTTATAATCCTCGAAAGAATTTAATTATTTTCAAAAATTGAAATAAAATTCTTCGAAGTAATTCAATTATTATGCATAGACAAATATTTTAATTAAATTATTCGAATGAATTTACTTATTTTCAAAAATTTTAATAAAATTCTTGGCATAATTTCAATTATTCTCAAAAAATTTCCCTAATTCAATGATTTTCAATATTTTCTATTTTAATAAAATATTCTAAAAGAATTCAATTGTTTAAAAAAAAATTTAATTTCACAGACATTTAATTATTTACAAATTGATTATAAATTTCTTCGCAATAATTCAATTATTTTCATAAATAATTTTTTACATGCATTCAATTATTTTTATGAGGAATAAAATTCTTCGTAAGAATTCAATTATTTTTATAAATAGGAAAATTTTATGCAGGAATTCAATTATTTTCAAAACAATTTTAATTGAATTCCTCGCCAGAATAAAAAAATTTTCAAATATTTCCATAAAATATAATTATTTCCTAAAATTTTTAAAAATTCTTCGAAACAATTAAACTATTTTTATAAATACTAAAATTCCTTGCCGAAATTAAATTATTTTTAATCCAATTTAAATTCAATTATTCGCAAAATATTTTTAAAAAATTCTATATGAAAATTAAATTATTTTCAATGCAATTGAAAAAAAATTGAAAGAATTTAATTATTTTCGAAAATTTAACTAAAATTCTTCGAACAAATTTAATTATATTATTAAAAATTTAATTATTTTCAAAAATTTATTGAAATTTTTAAAATTTGTGAGAATTCAATTATTTTCATAAGTAAAAAATTCTTTTCAGCAATTCAACTATTTTTATGAAATAATAAAATTCTTCGCAGGAATTCAATTATTTTTAGTACAGTTTTTATAAAATGTTTTTACAAAATTAAAATATTCAAAGAAAATTTTGATGAAATTCTTTTTTAAAATCCATTTAATTTCAATACAATTGCAATTAAATTCGAAAAATGAATTTAAATACTATAAAAAATTTTAGTAAAATTATTCGCAGGAATTCAATTATTTTTAGTACAGTTTTTATAAAATGTTTTTAAAAAATTAAAATATTCAAAGAAAATTTTGATGAAATTCTTTTTTAAAATCCATTTAATTTCAATATAATTTCAATTAAATTCGAAGAATGAATTTAAATACTATCAAAAATTTTAGTAAAATTATTCGAAGCAATTCAATTATTTTCAAAAGTTTTAATTCAAATTTTCAATTCCATAATAATTTAAATAAAATTTCTCTCAAGAAGTCAGTTAGACGCTATTAAAAATTTTAATTGAATTGTTCGAAAGAATTGAATTATTTTCAATAATTTTGATCACTGCTCTCTATGAGAGTTCAATTATTTTTAATAAAATTGTAATTAAATTCCACGAGAGAATTCAATTATTTTCAAAATTTTTAATAAAGAATTCTTCGAAATAATCTAATTATTTTCGAAAATTTTAATTAAATTCAATTATTTTCAAAATTTTATTCAAATTAATTATAAGAATTAAATTATTTCAGATTCAAAGTTACATTCTTTCTTTCCAGTTTCTTTTCGAAAAATTGTTTCACAATATTTATATTCTCTAATTTTGAATTTCAAAAAATTTGAACTAATTATAACAAAAAGTAACAAGAAATTTTTATAAACCTAATTTTATTTTTAAAAATGCGACTAAAATACTATAAATTTTTTCACAATATTCTCAAGTAATGAAAAAAAATTCTGACACTAAATTTTCCACTTTATCTCCAATTGAAACTTTTTTAATATAATTGAAACTAAAGGTGTGTAAAGAAACATTTTATAAGAGGTGAATAAATATTTTTCGTCACATATTTTTTATGCACATTTTACCGACATTGTAGAGAAATGTCATCAAACTATAATTAATATTTCATATGAAATTTAAAATTGGAAGAAACTTAAAAACTATAGAAATTTTTTCAAATATAAAATAGATTCCACTTGAAAGTTTTCCTAACCAACGAAGCAGTGCGAAGTATGTCACAATAAGTTAAAAATTTAATTGCATAACTCAATCTATTTTATGTATTATGTCCACTATGTCAAATCGAGAGCAAGGTTCAAAGTTTAACGAATTGAAAATGAAACAATTTTCCCAGAAAAAGAGAGAAGAAAAATTCTTTCTTTATTATTATTATCATCATCGAATCAAACACCAAATTTTTTTGTTTTTTTATAAAAGTTCAAATGAACGAAATTTATCTATTTCTTCTTCAAAGTCAAATTTTGTGAATCGTTTAAAAAAATTAAAGTTTCTAAATGTTAAATTTATAATTTCATTTAATTTTTAGTTTTTAATATTTTTTGCAATCAGTAATTTAAGAAAATCTTTTTAATAAGAAATATTTCGTTCATTTGAACATAAAAAACTTGAGATTTCTGTTTTTTAAATATAAATTTGTTTGTAACTTGAATTATATTCAAAAAAATTCCAACAAATTTATATTTATTTATTTATTTTATTTTTAAAATAAAATAAATAAATATAAATTTGTTGGAATTTTTTGAATTTAATTCAAGTTACAAAGTTGCCACGGAAATTTTGATTTTGTTTTTTTGTTTTTCAGACTCAGAATATTCTGAGTGCTGCGATAAAATTTCCTAATTTCCCGCAACTCTGGACATGAAATATTTATTCCAATTATAACTCACTCGCTTCCTCTGGATCCTAATGATGGACTTTTTCTTAAGCCCTTTGAGTATAAACTACTTTTTCCAGGACTACTGCCACGTGATCCTGACGATTTTTCACTTGGACTAACACCCCTGGAATTTCGACCTCCTTTTTTTTGTTCGAGTTTTCTTGAATTCTTCGGCGGAGTTTCGCCTCGAAGCGGTGATGGATTTCTCAGCATCACCATCCGTCAATCTGCAATAAACAAACGGGAAAATTAAAATTGGGAAATTATAAAATGTGGAATAGAATTTATCAAATAAAAAAAAAAATTTCAAACTATTTGCAACTTTTTTTACGATTTGCTACTATTTGGATAATGTTTTTAATATTTGTAAAACTAACAGCTACTTTTTCTCTTTCTTGAAAATTTGCACTACTTTTAATTCACTAATAATTGAAATAAAAAAATTATTCTCAAAAATTATAATAAAACTCTTAGAAACACTTCAAAAAATTTTAATAAAATTCTTTGAAAACATTCAACATTTTTCAAATTCAAATATTTTCAATATCCACTATTTTAATAAAAGTACTTCTAAAAAAAATTTAATTACTTAAACAAAATTGTGATAAAATTCCTCGCAAGTATTATCATTTATTTTCATAAATAATAAAATTTTCACAAGAATTCAATTATTTTCTTGCAAATAATAAAATTCTTCGCATGAATTCAAATATTTTCATAAATAATAAAATGGTTTGCAGATATTCAGTAATTTTATCAAAAAATTTGAGAATAATTGAATTTCTTCGAAGAATTTTATTATTTATGAAAATAATAAATTGAATTCTTACAAAGAATTTTATTGCAATTTTTGGAAATAATTTCAATTCTGCGGAGAATTTTATTGCAATTTTTGGAAATAATTTTAATTCTGCGAAGAATGTTATTGTTTATGATAATAATTGAATAGTTACAAAGAATTTTATTGGAAATTTCAAAAATAATTGAATTCCTGAGAAGAATTTTATTATTTTTGAAAATAATTGAATTCTTACAAAAGAATTTTATTTTAAAAAATTCGAGAACAATTGAATTTTTTCGAAGAATTTTATTATTTAGGAAAATATAATTGAATTCTTGCAAAAAATTTTATCAAAAAATTGGAGAATAATTGAATTTTTTCGAAGAATTTTATTATTTAGAAAAATATAATTGAATTTTTGCAGAGAATTTTATCAAAAAAATTTTTGAAAATCTTAATTAAATTCCTTTGAAGAATTTCTTTCAATTTATTTATTTGAAATTTTTTTGAAAATTTTGCCAGTAATTCAATTTTATAAACAATTTCTTTTAAGTTTTTAAAATAATGTCGTTTCTTAATAATTGAAATTAAACAATTAAATTAATGAATTTTTTTGAAATTTTTAGAAAATAAGTGAATTTTTTTGAAAAATTTTCTAATGAATCAATAAAAAAATTGAATTCTGTCGTAAAATTTTATTTAAAATTTAAAAAAATTGAATTTTGCAAAAAATTTTACTATTTAGAAAATTAAATTTTTTGAAAATAATTGAATTCTTCTGAAAAATTATTTTTACCAAATTAACTAAATTTCTTTAAAGAATTGAATTAATTGAAAAACTTTAATATAATTCTCTGTAGAATTATTGAAATTATTTCCAAAAATTTTAATAAAATTCTCTGCAAGAATTAAATTATTTACATAAATAATAAAATTCTTCTCTGAAATTCAATTATTTTCAAAAATGTTAGTAAAATTCGTCCCAATAATTCAATTATATAATTCATAAATAATAAAGTTCTTTGCCGAAATTAAATTATAAACACATATAAATAAAATAAAATAAACCAATTTAAAGAATTTATCACAATATAATTTTATATTTAATTAATTAATTATATTAATCTGATAATTCTGTTATTTATTCTGTTCGCAGTTTGAAGTTTGTCTTTAGAGTAAGCTTTTTTTTTTCTAAAATGCAGGACAGATCGAAATTATATACAGTTTTCCGATTTATCAAAACTCTCTATAAATTTGAATTAATAAAAATTATTTTTATTTAATTTATTTTTAACAATTCTAAAAAATATTTTTAATAATTTAAAACAATTATTTATTTTCAAACTTTTTTCTTTATTTTTTATGAAACCTGAATTATTGTTAAAATATTGTCATTGCGAAGAAAAAATTATGCCATTTATTTTCTTTTTTCAAAAAAAAAATATATAATCTTGTAATAATGTAAAAACAATAATTAACATATCAAGATCATGCAAATTTGTTTCATTTCAAAAAAGTTTTGTTAAATTTTGTCTGAAAGATCGAAATTATACATTTTTTTTTATTTTTAAATAGATAAAAAATATTTTATACATATTTTTTTAATAAACTTTTTTAGCAAGTGTAATTTATTAATGAGGATTTCTTTCAAGTTTTGAGCAATTAGTGAAAGTCGATCAGTGTTTTATTGTATATGTAATTTGTTGTTAGAATTTTCATTATGTTTCCTGATGTATTTGCTGTTAGGAATAAGGATTGCATGCGCTTTTTTAAAGACGTTAATTGCCAAGTAATTTTATGGTAACAAAGTGAGAGGAGGATTTATCTTGTGTGAATGAAGATGTTACTACTCAGATGGAACGTTTAATATACACACATAGAAAATCAACTCATTTATAATAATTATTCCGATTTATTATAAAAATAGTTTTTTTTTTTAATGAAGTCTGTTTATTATTAGAATTTTTAAATTAAAATATAGTAAATATTTAAAGCGGTAATAAAGAAATAAATTTCACTGGAGATTGAATATATTCTTATATCGTGATGGTATAAGTAATAAGTAATTGTTTAAAGTCGTTGACTTCTGAAAGATTTTCCAGATTATGAGAAGAATATAAATCTTTAATGAGACGGATTTTTACAATTTAAAAAAAAAATTAATTATTAAATTATAATTGAGTTTGGTTTAAAAATCGAAAATTATTTTCTTTAAAATAACAAGTGGGTGCATAAATTTCCGTCGATTTACTTGAAAGACCGGAAAGATGCGTTAGAGGATAATAAGACATCCTGGACGCCTTTCACTTGCCAGGTGCCATTGCCTATTGTCATTATAATTAGTTTGGTGAATTTGTTTTTGCGTAAAATATGCCGTTAACAGTTGTTATGTGCTTAGTGGTAGGAGATTTGTTTTTATTTTCATACAGGTGCAATTTATCATATACAGGTTCGCAATCGATAAGTAACTTTAAAAAAGTAGCTTTAAGACTGAAAAACTACATATAGTAAAAAGTAGTAATTTTTATTTTAAAGTTAATATATTAATAATTTTTAGTATTTTTACAAAGAAAAATTTATATATTATTAGTTTTACAATAATTAATTTAATTTAATTCTAATTTATAAATAATTAATCAAAAAATCATTTAATAATAAATCGATTCTTAATCAGGGTATCTACTATTTTCGTTCAACAAAATTCCCGACTTTGTCCTAATTTTTCCGGATGTTTTTTTCTCATCTTTAAATTAATTTGATTTCGAACATAAATAAATCTACAAATGGCTACAAAACTTTTTTATTAGTTTTTATGAATCAATTACATTCTTTTGACGAGTTTCTTCAAATTTTTTGAAAATAATCCTTTTTTTTAATAATTTTAATTAAAAATTTGGAAAATAATTGAATTAAACAAAGAATTTTTTTCAATTTCTTAAAATAATTTTGTCTGTTCATAATTATAAGTGAAAATTTGATTAATTCTATTTTATTAAAATGTATTGATACTAATTGAATTTCTGCAAAGAATTCTACTATTTATAAAAGTAATTGAATCCCTCCAAAGAATTTTATTACATATTTATGAAAATAATTGAATGTTTGCGTAGAATTTTATTAAAATTTTTGAAAATAATTGAATTGTGGAGAACAATTTAATTATTTATAAAGATAATTGAAATTTTAAGGAGAATTAAAAAAAAATTTTTAACATAATTGAATTTCTGCGAAGAATTTTATTACTTTTGAAAATAATTGAATTCTTTTTTAGAATTTTATAGAAATTTATGAAAATAATTTGAATTCTTGTGAAGCATTTCTTTTTTTAAATAATATTGAAAAAAATTTAGTAAATCTTAAGAATTTTTTCTATTTATGGAAATAATTGAATTCTTGAGAATAATTTTTTTTTACAATTTCTAGAAATAATTGAATTCTTTTGACAAATTTTAATAAAATTTTAAAGAATAATTACATTTTTTGAAGAATTCGATTAAATTATTGTATTAAAAATAATTGAAATTCTGCAATGAATTTTACTATTTTTGAAAATAATTGAAATTTTGAGGAGAGTTTAAAAACATTTTTAAACATAATTGAATTTCTGGGTAGGATTTTATTACTTTTGAAAATAATTGAATTGTTTTTTAGAATTTTATGTAAATTTATTAAAATAATTGAATTATTGTGAAGAATTTTTTTTAACAATACTATTTAAAAGAATTTAGTTAATCTTAAGAATTTTCCTATTTATGGAAATAATTGAATTCTTGTGAAGAATTATTTTTACAGTTTATTATTTAAAAAAATTGAAAACTTTGCGAAAATTCAATTTTATTAAAAAATTTTAAGGGTGTATCATTTTTTAAATTAACAAATAAAAATTTTAATTATTAATCTTCGCACTAAGAAACATGAATACATTAGAATGTGACTCTTTATAAAATTCAATTATTTATCAATTATTAAATTAAAATACTTTGAAAATTCGATTTGTTAAAAAGTTTTTAATGAAATTCTTTAACAAATTTAATTATTTTCAGTTGAATTTCACAAAATTTATATTAATTCGATAATTTCTTTTAATTTATTTATACATATGTATATTTTTTTAAAATTATTTTTAATTAATTTAGGTAGTACTAAACTAATTCAAATTTAGAGAACAGTAAAATATCTATAAAAATTGAAATAAAAAGCGATTCTTTAAAAACAAGTTAAAATAATAATACTTTTTTAAATTTAGAGAAAAAATCCCTGGTATTAAATTAAAATATTTATTAAAAGAATTAAAAAATTATTATAAATTAAATTCTTTTGTATATTAAATATTTCTCTTTTATATAATTTAATAAATCTATTATAAATTATATTTCGCAAAAAAATAGTTGGTAATAAAATATTGTATATAAAAATTTACATTTAAATAATAACTCACCAAAGATTATCTGCACATTAATATTATCACGTTCATTTTTCCAACTCCTTTCAATTCGTTATTATCACACAAAACGAATAAAAAACGGAAAAACTTTTTTTTAAAATTAATTGCAAATAAAATGTAATAAAATTAAAAATTTTGCTATCTAAGTAACTGAGGGTCAAAGTATATAAAATTGGGGGGTGAGTAGTAAACAAGTAATGTATGTATATGTAAAAAGGCTTAATCCATGCTATGGACACGATTGCGCGCACTAGACTAACTCTTTATGTGACATGAAGGTAGACTTGACCCTCGGGGGGGTTGTTTTCTATAGGTGGTCAAATCGATCGAAATCGAGTGTAATGTGCATTTTCATAAACATGTTCATGTTTATATAATAAGACCAACTGTCCATTGACAGTTGCAATACAATCAAGAAATGCACGTGCACTCGCTTTAATATTTGTATATTTATATACGGTATTCGGATTTACGAGTGAACTTGACACCTGATGAAAAAGGGCCAGTGGCAATACCATTCACGCCTATATACAAAATTGGACAAATTTCTTCCTGTCGCTTGTCAACAAACGACCGTAGCATAAACTATCCCTTATAAATAATTCATGCAATCGAATTTTGACTTTCCCTCTTCGCCTCTATAAAGTATTTAAACAGATATTTTTAAATTTATGCTTTAAAAGTTTTATAAAAAAATTACTATTAAACTTCAAATTTCCGAATTTTCTGCTAATCATCAAATTTTGTATTTCCCTTATTTTGTTCTAAATTATTAATTTAAAACAAAATTTATTAATTTAAAAAATTTATTAATTGAAATCGTTTTTTGGAAACGATTCAAAAATTTTTTGCAAGAATTTAATTATTTTCACAAATAATGAAATCCTTCGCTGAAATTCAAATATTTTCAAAATCTACAATTTTAATAAAATTTATCAAAAGAATTCAATTATTTAAAAACAAATTAATAAAATACTTCGCAAACACTCCATTAATATCATGAATAATAAAATTATCACACGAATTCAATTATATGAAATATAATTGCAAAAAAAAGTTTTGAAAGAAATCAATAATTTAAAATATTTCCATAAAATATTGTGGAAGAAATTAATTATATTTTCTAAAATTTTGATAACATTTGTTTATAAGCATTACTTAAATTATTTTCATAAATAATTAAATTCATTGCAAGAATTCAATTATTTTTAATATACAGTTTTAATTAAATTATTCCAAGTAATTAAATTATTCTTTTAAATTTTCATAAATTTACAGAAATTTTAATAAAATCCTTCGCAAGAATTCAATTATTTTTACAAATAAAAAAATTGTTCACAGGAATTCAATTATTTAAAAACATTTACTGAGATTCGTTGCAAGAATTCAATTATTTTCATAAATTTAAAATTCTTCACAGAAATTCAATTATTTAAAAAAATTTACTGAAATTCGTTGCAAGAATTCAATTATTTTCATAAATAATCAAATTCTTCACAAAAATTCAATTATTTAAAAAAATTATTTACTGAAATTCGTTGCAAGAATTATTTGCAAAAATTTGAATAAAATCCTTAGCAAGAATTAAATTATTTTTATGAATAAAATATTTTTACAGAAATTCAATTATTTACAAAAATTTATTGATATTCGTTGCAAGAATTCAATTATTTTTTATAAATAATAAAATACTTCAGAGAAATTCAATTATTTAAAAAAACGAACTGAAATTCGTTGCAAGAATTCAATTATTTTCATAAATAATCAAATTCTTCACAAAAATTCAATTATTTAAAAAAATTATTTACTGTAATTCGTTGCAAGAATTCAATTATTTTCATAAATAATAAAATTCTTTAAACAAATTCAATTATTTACAAAAATTTGAATAAAATCCTTAGCAAGAATTAAATTATTTTTATAAATAAAATTTTTTTACAGAAATTCAATTATTTAAAAAAATTTACTGAAATTCGTTGCAAGAATTCAATTATCTTCATAAGTAAAGAAAATTCTTCACAGAAATTCAATTATTTAAAAAAATTTACAAACATTTGTTGCAAGAAATCAATTAATTTCATAAATAATAAAATTCTTTAAACAAATTCAATTTTATATTAAAAAATTTACTGAAATTTCTTTGCGAGAATTCAATTATTTTCATAAATAAAAAAAAATTCTTCACAGTAATTCAATTATTTAAAAAGAATTTACTGAAATTCGTTGCAAGAATGCAATTATTTTTATAAATAATAAAATTCTTCACATATATTCAATTATTTTTAATACAATTTCAAATAAATTCCTCGAAAAATGTAATTATTTTCAAAAATTTTATAAAAATTTTTAGACAAAAATCAATTATTTACATAATTTTGATAACATTATTTATAAGTATTCAATTCTAAGAGATAATCATTTATTCTATCAGTTATTTATTTTTGTATTTAAATAATTTAATTCTTGTAGAACTTTCTAATAAGAATTAATTGAAAAATGAATTTTAGTTAAAATTTTAGATTACAATTTAATGTTAAATGCCTTATAGTATTAACTTTTATAAATAGGTAAATTTTAAAAACCTTTACATTAACATTATAAAAAAATTTTAATTCCTGTGGAAAAATAAGTATTTTTTTTAATTGAATAAAAATTATTCAAGTATGAATAATTTAATTTAGAAAATTATGAAAAAAATTAGTCTTTTAAAAAATTTAAATTTGAATTTTTTGAATTAATTTGAAGTAAAAAATTAAAAGTATTTATTTAAATTTATAATTACTTGAAAGTTTTTTTAAATTTATTTGAAATAAATTTTATATTTACAAAAAAAATTATATTTTTACTTTTAAAAGTTATTTTGAAATATAATCGAATTTTTGAAGAATTCTAACTAAACATTTGGAAAATAATTGAATTTCATAAAAATTTAAAATTCAAGTTATTACTATAGGTTAAGAAGAAAAGTGAATATTTTTTATGCAAGTCAGCGAAATAAAAAACAAATTTTGTTGCTGTAATTTTTGTAAATTTAAAACGTGTTTTTTAGTCGTCAAATTTAATTTTTCGATAGCTACTTTTTTTACTACTTTTTTCACTCTTAAAGCTCTACTATTTGCCACTTTTTTAAAATTAATTAATGAGTACTAAGCCTGGTATTGTAATATTTTTAACTATTATTTAACTATATTTGTTCCGTTAAATTTGAAATATGGTCTTTAATAATGATTCAGTTGAACTAAATTTTCAGTAATCGTAGCATTTACTCATTCCTTCTGTCGGTAAAAAAAGGGAATAAATATAATTATTCAAAATACTATATCGAAGGGTAAATGCTCTCTAAACATCATAATAATATATCAATAATTCATAATGACTTTATCAAACATTAATAATTCAGAAATTAGTGTCAATTATTAATCGTTAAAGGATTATCGAAAAATTAGGAACATCATCAAAGACCATTACTACTAATAATTAAGAAAGAAATTTATGCGCATTTTTCATGAATTGTAAAAATTTTCTCAGAATTGAAAAATTTACTTTTGTACAAATTTTTGTACTTAAAGAATTATCTGTATAAATTTCTTCCGCAGGTAATAACATAAGTGTTTTACTCTTTTCATTATTAAAATCTACTTTTGTTATTGAAAAAATAAAGAACGCTACTTTAATTCGACTGTCTTATCTTCATAATATATGCAAAACTATTTCCTTCCGGGTGTAAACTATTAAATATTAAAATTCTTCATCACTCATTTATACGAAGGCAACTATAATTTTAATATAATTCGTTTTTCTCGTGTCAAAAATCCATTATAACTTTTTCGGGTTATTAGACTGAGAAAATATCCACTTCAACCTTCTCAATTATTAATGAGAACAAAACATTTCTTCTGCACCTAAAGTCTTTTGACATTTCAACTCTGTTAACAGATCGAAAAAGTATATACATTGTAATAAAAGTTCATTGCCAGGGTCATGAAATACCGACTCTTACAATGTCTTACAATTAGAAAATTAGTATACAGAAAGGCATATTTCTTTTTCTAGATTTTAAGCCGCAAATTTTTTTTTTATAACCGATTTTGTAGAAAATCTATACATTTACTGTTTAAATAATAATAATTTCGAGGGATCGATGAAATTTCAATTTACCTAAACTCACGTTGTTTAGGGTTGTCAAATATTTAATTTCAATTTATTTTTTATTATTTGTGTTAAATAAAATAATTATAATAACACAGGCACACAAAAAAAAAGTTTCGTGGCCGAGACACTACAGTAGTATATTCCCATATGTTTTTGGTCGCTGAATCCGAATCTGAAGTCCGAATGCTCAAATTGGTTCTTTTTTTTTAGTTATACTCAAAAAACGACTCAAAACACGATTTTGAACCAAAAAAATTAAAAATTTTTTTTGTGACATGACAATAGCATATTTCCATGTATTTTTTCCCGCTGAATCCGGATTCGAAGTCAGAATTGACAGATGTGCTCAAAATTATGAGCTAAACTCAAAAAACAGATTTAAAATGACGAAAATGAAAAATTTTTTCTGTGACACTGCAAAAGTATATTCCTATGTATTTTTTCACGCTGAATCCGAATTCAAAGTCAAAATAGACAGATTTGCTCAAAATTTTGAGATTTACTCAAAAAACCACTCAAAAAAGACTCAAAAATCCGAATTAAGATGAAAAAATTTTTTATGACACTTCACTACTATATTCCCATGTACTTTTTTCCGCTGAATCCGAATTCGCAGTCAGAATCGACAGATTTGCTCAAAATTTTGAGATAAGCTCAAAGAACTGATAAAAAAAGCGATTTAAAATAAAGAAATGGCAATTTTTTGCTATGACACTACATTACAGTATTTCCATATATTTTTACACTCGGATCTCGCATTTGAAGTCAGAATTATTCTAATGGCTCAAAATTTTGAGACACACAAGAAAATCTGTTAAGTTACAAAAATTAAAGTCAAGAAACTCTACTTTTCTTGCTAGTACACTACATTAGTATATTCTCATGTTTTTACATCTGCTTCTAAATTCAAAGTTAAAATTATTAAATTGGCTCAAAATTTTAAGTTAAATCCAAAAATGCTCAAAATTTAATTTAATGCAAAAGAGTTCATTTTTTTGGTATTCGGTAGTGTATTCCCATGAATTTTATATACGCTGAATACAAATTCGAAGTTAGAATTATCAGAATGACATAAAATTTTTTAGAACTCAAACCCTGGTTACAGGTACAAGCATGCATGTTTTTGAGCACTTTTAATGAAATCCAAAATTTTGAGCCACTTTGAAAATTCTGACTTTGGAATCACAGTGAAAAAATACATGGGAATACACTAGTGTAGTGTCATAGCAAAAAATTTCCTTTATTCATATTAAATACATTTT